TCAATGTGGTTTTGATTTGGATTTCCCTGATGGCTAATGATGATGGACATTTTTTCATGTGTCTGTTAGCCATTTGTATGTCTTCTTTGAAGAAGTGTTTGTTCATGTCTGTTCATGTTTTCTGCCTAATTTTTGACCTGATTATTTGTTTCTTGGGTTTTGGAATATTATTCAGCCATCAAAAGGATGAATACCTAATTTTATATCAACATGGATGGGACTGGAGTAGATTATGCTAAGTGAAATAAGTCAAGCAGAGAAAGTCAATTATCAAATGGTTTCACTTACTTGTGGAACATAAGGAATAGCATGGAGGACATTAGGAGAAGGAAGGGAAAAATGAAGGGGGGGAAATCAGAGGGGGAGATGAACCATGAGAGACTATGGACTCTGAGAAACAAACTGAGGGTTTTAGAGGGGAGGGGAGTGGGGGAATGGGTTAGCCTGGTGATGGGTATTAAGGAGGGCATGTATTATATGGAGCACTGGGTGCTATACAAAAACAATGAATCATGGAACATTACATCAAAAACTAATGATGTACTGTATGGTGACTAACATAACATAATAAAATTAAATTAAAAAAAAATATATGAGGTACTGTGTGAGTTTTCCATTTGAGCCCAATCCTTTAAACCCAAGGGCTATTTATTTTGAAGATTTTTGATATAAAACATCTCTAGTACAAAATAAATCCTTCCACCCACAGCAAACATTTATTGCAAACAGGCGTAGCACTGTACACTGAATGGGACAAGAAATCTGCTTCCTTGAGGCTCATGAGCAGTAAACCTTCCAAAGCAAACACATATAACTTGAATCCTGTACTGATGATGCATGGGCACATGAAAGGGGGCCACAGCCTGCCCCTGCACCAAATACCCTTGGTTTACTGATGTGCCATTCTTTATCATCTCCTCACATCCTGTCAGCTTTCATTATTACAGAGGTAAGGCTTCAAGTGCCCACCCTTGTCCACCATGATGTATTGGCCTAAAACTGGCTTTAGGAAAATCTTCTCATTCGTAATTAGTCATGGAATTTACAAACCGTTGAGTAGCAGGTTGGCAGACATCATAGTTGATGTGTGTTCTGTCAGCCACTTCCCTAATGTTCTTACTCTCTAAACCTCACTTGAAGCAGTATCTCTAGATGCCTGGAATAATGAACATGTTCATTTCACATTACAACAGAGTCCGAACAGGCTTCCTCATTCAATGGCTTATATAAATCCTTAAGGATAGAAAAACTTACAGACTATTTTCTCTCTCTAAAAACAGTGTAGAGAGAAAAAGAACCTCTCTCTTTGCTACTGACAAAACAAGATGGCAGGATAAGAAACTGACTTCAAACATTGTGGCAGCTGATGTTTCAAATTAACTTCTTTCTCTGTATAAAACCTAGCTATCCGGTAGGTCTGAGAATTTTTAAGACTTGCAGAATATAGGAATTGCTCTTATTTTAGGTTTCTATACTTAGGGACATTATTTGTAGTGTGGGGCAGGAAGCATACCGAATCAGTGGTAGGTAAACCCAGCTTCCAGGTTCTAACCCAGTATTCCAGAGTATCTTGGCCACTATCAGCCACAGTAACATTTAATTAAGAAGTTTATACAGTAGTGTTCTTCATATTAGGTAAGAAATATTAGATATCTAGAATATAAAAGATCTAAAATAAGGAATATTAGATACCTAGAATGTCTGGAACTGACTAGTGAAAAGCTTCCTGTCCTAGCCTCAACAGGTTTTGCAGAAGTCAAGAAGATACTGACGCTATGGAAATATTTAAGGCACATTCCTTTCCCTTTAAAATCTGGTGTTTTCTTATAGTTTCTTAGGTTTTATAACTACCTTGGTCAAGACCTTGAGTGACATATGGTGGCCGTTTTAACAAATCCAAATAAACTGGGAAGAATGGAAGAGAGTGAGGTCAAGAAAATGTGTAGAATTGCTAATCCACAATCCCTTATTGGAAATTTCAAAATCTAAGAATCTATGAAAACTAAAGCTTTTTGTGTGGAATTTACTGGTGGACAGGACCTGACCTGAATCTGAACTCATGTGGTAGCAACACCCGACTAATGTGAGGTTATTTCATATCTTAGGCTACAGAAATAAGAATTCTCTCGGTTACAGGGTGCTGTCCAGTCCCCTGGGGTGTTACATATAGATATCAACATTGTGTTAATGTTTGCTGAACATCAACACACCACACAGCCATTCTAAAATCTGAAAAATTTTGATTCCAAAATACATTTAGCCTGAAGATCATCATAAAAGGTATGTGGACCTGCCTAATCACCAACTTCTACCCAGTTTGATAAATCATGCAAAAATACATTTATCTGAAAAGAGCCTGTTTGATTCAAGTATTAAGCATATAAGCATCAAAATAAGGATGATTTTATATGCAAATGCTCATACTTCAACATTCTGAAACATGACTCACACTGGCCGTGTTATACAGCCAGCTTATTCTATACACGAGATAAACGAGCTTATTCCACACACTAAACTAGATAAACAGGACCTGCTCTTATGCTGGCTCAGGAGACTAGTACTCTGCAATCCCAATCGAAGAGTCACTATTCTCGGTCAGACACTATTAAACTGGGTAAAAAGCTACTTGTACCTGCAATCTTAACCAGTCCATGTGGTAATAGTAGCCAGAATTAAGGTAATACCATACACCACCTCCTAGATGCATAAAGTTTCACAACACAAATAGCAAATGAATTTCTACACCCAGTTCTAGTAAGTTTATTCAGGCTGAAGGGGGGCCTATTAATCTTCAGACATTTTAAAGTACTCTCTGTAGAAAATGAGTATCCTTTTCATACATATGACAAAACAGAATGGATGGATTATACCTAGCACAAATAAAAAATTCTGCATGCAGTTATTTCTCATTTTCATCCATTCCTGCTACACCATGGAGCGTTACAAATCCCTATGATTCCCCTTCAGATTATTACTTACCATTTGATTCTTAAATTTTTACTTTAAATACACAATGTTGAAGTATCAATGAACAGAAATGTTATCAATAACACTATAATTTAAAGGAAAACCTTCTTTGTGTATTTGAAAGATTTAAAGACCAGGTCTTCTACCTTCAAGTAATGATTTAATCATTCATTTCAGGAGATGTATTTATCATATATATATTTCACTAAACAGTTCAGTTTATATAAGTGTCAGTTATATTTTTCACATAAATAGTACTAAATTAAATTTGGGATTCTGAATTTTGAAATATCCACCGAAAGTGCCATGTTCTTTCAGGTCCCATGTCTTTCACAGATCGATCTCCCATCTAGGAAACCCTTTCCACACTCGTATTTCAAGGCTCAGGTAGTGATTACCTCTCTTGAAGCCTTCCTCAAGTCCTCTGAATAGAATTGTTCGACTTTCTTTGCTACCATTACACTTTTCGTAGCAGCAATTACACTGTAATTATTTTTTTTTCTCACCTATCCCTCACCCTGGCAATCAGCTTATATAATACAAGCATGGAGAGATATTCTTCGTTTCTACCCCAGAACTTTTGTTTCTCCCTCAGTAGATATTTGAATGAATGATCAGAGAGTAAAGATCCCATTATGAGGTTATGTTCTCCTCAAATATGATCATCTGGCAAGGAGGAAAAAATGGGGAACTGTCAGTCTTCAAAGGCAGAAAGACCAAACCAGACACTCTTTAAAAAGAAAGTAGGATTCACAGTCAATAGCACAAATTACACCAGTTGTGCCATGAATATTAAATTGAGAGGAAACACTGTTCTATGTCAAGAGCTGCACAGAAAGCACAGCGGTGGTAACTTGGCTATATTTCAAGTTCCCTCCTGCTGCCACACCCTAAAGCATTCAAACAGAGTATCTCTGCATCAATGATAAAGTCTTGAAGAACAAGATATTTTTGTAAGAAAAAAATGAAAAGTTACTTAAAAATACTCTGGATCAAATGTTTCTCAATTTTGTGCACAGGAATCCCCTGGAGTTCTTGTTAAAAATGCAGACTGTGATTTGGTAGGTCTGGCTGGACCCTGACATTTTGCATTTTCTAACAAGCTCTCAGGTGAGGCTGATGCTGCTGGTCAATGAACCATCCTTTTTAAGGAGCACTTATGACGTAGGGATAGATATTCTATATTCTATTTTCCTCCAAAGTGCAGGTTGGACTTGTCTTACTTTTAACCAGAATGCCCTTGTTACCATTCCTTGTTATAGCCTAATCTTGATGGTGCTAATTATATAAAATATTACTGAAAATTCAACTGGAAAAAATCTGTATCACTTTAGAAATCTTTAAATTGTTCTTACCTATACTCTGGTAATGCCATCGAAAGAAAATTCGTTCAGGTAGAAATTGCAGTATTTTCTATAAAACAAATTTAAAAATTGTTAAGATATCAACAGAAAATAAACTACACATTTCATGATAGTACTGTGTGTGGTGTGTGTGTGTATCAGAAAAGAAAAGAAAATCTATTTCCAATAATGTAAATAGTGCAGTTGACCCTGTAAGCCCATGGGATAGTGTCTTTTACTTGCCCCAAGCAACCTTCCTTCCCTGAGTGCCTTAAAGGCATCACTGTCCCAAGTTTAATTCCTCCTAAAAGAAAACAAGAAAAAGAAGAGGAAAAAAACCCTAAAATGATCATTTTATCTTAATTGAATCATAGTCATTGCTTAAGTTTATATTAAAAGAATAATTTCTCAAATGCCAGATTCCCCAGGTTTCTGCTTTTTCATCTTCCACTTCCCCTTTCCATTATCATCATTATTAGTCTGTGGACAAGGACCAGAGTCGGGAAGAAAGATGAACAACAAGGAGGGTAAGACCATGAACATACGGTGGGATAACAAAATGAAATTGCTGCCAAGAATTTCTTGAAATTAATAGCTAAAAATAAGTTTAGGATTGCAGTTCAGAATTCCGCCCCCTTCACCCTCCACATTGGAAGATACAATAAGGAATGAACATATGATATACAAGAGTATTTGGCTAATAAAAGCAGCTTTTCAAAAAAAAAAAAACAAAAACAAATGACCTTTTTCCTTTTTTCCCACTTTAAAATAAGTTTTGGCAAGTATACTCGTGGGTCATAAGATTCTTTGTACCTTATCTGCAACCACCTTTGTAAGAAATGTAGAAATCCAAAAACTTATAAAAATATATTTCTTGATATTGATAACACATCACTATTTTACCATGAAAAATCTACATTCTAGGTTAATCTAGGCTAATATTCTAACATTTTGAAAGATGAAGGTAAAAAATGTATATCCAGATCCCCTGGTATATTTCCAGGCAGCTAATCAACTGCCTCCTCCATTTGAGCCAGCCTGAGGTTTTGTTTTGTTTTCATTTTCTTGTCTTAACTTTCCCCAGGGTCAGTAACATATACCTGTATTATTTCATTTGTTCTCATTTGACAACAATGAACATGTAAGAACATCTACTGAGAAAAGGCACGACAGGTAAACTTCCGTCAGACGCAGGTGACTATTTTTTTTAAAGATTTATTTATTTTTAATTTAATTTAATTTTATTATGTTATGTTAGTCACCATACAGTACATTATTAGTTTTGATGTAGTGATCCATGATTGTTTGTATATAACACCCAGTGCTCCATGCAATACGTGCCCTCCTTAATACCCATCACCAGGCTAACCCATCCCCCCACGCTTCTCCCCTCTAGAACCCTCAGTTTGTTTCTCGGAGTCCACACCCTCTCATGGTTCGTCTCCCCCTCCGATTTCCCCCCCTTCATTTTTCCCTTCCTTCTCCTAATGTCAGACGCAGGTGACTTTAAATGACACAGATTCCTTGCTCTGCCCAGATGCTTTTCCACCCATGGCCTTGTGCCGATGGCACCACCTCACCATCCCTCTCACTGCAAGCACCACCTCCCCACAGAGGCCCTTCTGCACCTTCTTTCTTTCTGGGCGCCACCTCACCACTGCTCTGATGCTTTCTCTACCACCTGTTCTGTCATCTTCCTAACCCTCACCCCTAGCTGAAGTGATCTTCACGTTCACTCATTTGAAGGCAGTATTCCCTCCCCCCGAGTGTAAGCCCCGCAAGAACAAGAACACCTCTGTCTTTTCTCTGAAGTGTCCCCAGAACCAAGAGCATGGCTGGCACACAGCATGTGCTCAAATAAATACTCAATAGAAGAATTATGCATGCTTTTTACTTGTAGAACTGTTTTGAGTATTACAAGTATCCTAATCTTTGCTATGGTTCTCTGTTCATGTTAACATAAAATGTACCTGGTCTTTCCTTACATGTCATTGACTTAACAATACTTACATTAAAATACATTAAAATGTGTGGGCATTTTTTAAACCCTAAACTTAGTAAAGAAAACCCAAACAAAAAACTAAAAGCTGTATAATTTAAAAGAACGAAGTTTTCAAGATTTGACAAACATAAATAATAAAATATAAATGTATTTAGTTATGGTCTTTCTTATAAATTCTTCATACCACCCATCTACACAGATGAAAATGCTACACAAACTACACTGAAGACTATTTCTGATTATATATATTAAAAGCAGTATGTGGCTGATCACATGCTGACAATCACTAACAGGAGTTCTCTCCTATATTTCCACTTCAGACTTCCTACAGAACATATTGACTCGGTATCTCATAAGCCCATAACTCTAAGGTGTATCTTGTTTTACTACATGTTAATGCTGACATACACTCAAACACACTTCTATAAACACAATAGTCACATGCACATCAAACCCCATTTAATGAAAAATATCTACACACTTGATACCAAGCTTGGCATTTGAAATGCAGAAATAAAATAAATATTCATAAAATACTTAGTTCTTCATTCTAAGGGTTTCATGATTAGTGGGCAAGAGAGATGATAAAGAAAATATCATTCAGGAGAAAAAAGAAAAGCCTGACAGAAATTTCTCTGAGGAGCTGCGGAGGTGAGGGGGAAAGCATCTCATCTCAGCAGAAGCTTCATGGAATGGCTCCAGGAAAAAAGGATGCTTGAGCTGAGATTACAGAATTAATTAAATTAGCTTACTGGAGAACAGGAACAAAAGGAAGAGCATATGTAAAGGCCAAGAGGCAAAGACAGCCTGAAAGGAACAGCAGCAGCAAGAGAGCCCGCTTGGCTGGCAGGTAGGTGAGGAGGGGAGGAGAAGGGCCTGGAGAGGCAGGTGACGCCATGATCTCATGGAGCACTGTGCAGTCACCGAACGTGTTCCAGCTGGAGTGGAATTTAAGATGGCTGAGAAGAGAGGCAGAGATATCAATGAAGAGGCAATGGTAGCATATCAGAGGAGGAATGCTGTGGCCTGGACAAAGGTCAGCAAGATAAAGAGAAGCATATAATGGTGATATTTAGGAGGTAAAACTGTCAAGACGGCGGTCAGAGTAGTTGTGAATGGAGGACTCAAGAATGACTCCCCAGTGACGGCGGTCAGAGTAGTTGTGGTGAATGGAGGACTCAAGAATGACTCCCCAGTGGCTCAGCAGATGGCAATACTTCTATCTAAGATATCAAATCCAGAAGGAATCCCAGAACTGAGGCATGTCAAGTTTGGTTCTGGACATCCTGGAATTGGAGATGTCAACAGGCTTCTTTGAGGAGATGTTCTAGGCAATTAGATATATGGGCCTGGAGGGCAGAAGCAGGATTTGGATGGTAACAGAATACAGGTAGCAGCTGAAGATGTGTGTGTATAAGATCCCTCTGAGAGGGTTTAAAAGGAGATGAAATGAAACCCTAGAGATACCGGTATGTTGAAATTATCCGAAGACAACAAGGGTGAAGAAGGAAGGGGCGCCTCGGTGGCTCAGTCCATTAAGCATCTGTCTTCGGTTCAGGTCATGATCCCAGGGTCCTGGGATCGAGCCCAGCATCGGGCTCCCTGCTCAGCAGGGAGTCTGCTTCTCCCTCTCCCTCTGCTCTTACCCTTGCTTCTGCTCTCTCTCAAATAAGTAAATAAAATATTTTAAAAACAGGATGAAGAAGGAAGAGCAGGAGCTGGAGACAAGTATGCACAGGTCAAAGAAAAAATTTTCAATGTGCCAGGTGTTTGCACATTTGTCTTGGAGATTAAGAATACTTATGACTATTTATATGTACACCTAGTTAGAAAAAGTTAAAAGATGCTGGAAAATGTAAGAAAACTGATGCAAATGAAAATACAAGAAAAGTGATTTCAGTATTAAATCAAGTGAACTCAACATTTTTTTTTTAAAGATTTTATTTATTTAACAGAGAGAGAGATAGCGAGAGCTGGAATACAAGCAGGGGGAGTTGGAGAGGGAGAAGCAGGCTTCCTGCCAATCAGGGAGCCCAATGCGAGGCTCAATCCCAAGACCCTGGGATCATGACCTGAGCTGAAGGCAGACGCTTAACGACTGAGCCACTCAGGCACCCAAGTGAACTCAACATCATCTGTTGCCTGAAGAACCCATAACCTTTGTCAGCCAGACATCAAACACCAGACAGGATCGATCAATCTATAAACTGTGCAGAGGCAAGTAAATGGCTCTTTGAGGGAAAAAATCAAGTAGGTTTTCACCTTGCAATATACACCATGTGTATTAGATGAATAATATACAGAAGGAAGTAAGGGTAAAAACCAGGTTATGTTTTAAGTTTTATTACAGTAAAAGGGAATCAGAAGAAGAAAAATTAAGTCTGTTCTCTATGGAATATTTTAATAAGAACCCATGCAAGCACTGTCCTACCAAAAGAATGTACAGCTCAGTATGCCCATGAGCTGCAGATAAGGACACAGACAGGAATACAGGACCCAGAGAGCTGTCTGTAGATTATGGGAAATCATCACAAGCAAAGAGAAAATCAACAACTCTGGACCTGAGAAGAAGGACCAGGGTCTCAGCAGTCAGGCTGCTGCTGACCAAATGAGCAACTCTAGAGCCCAGAAAAATCATGGTCTGGAGATGGGCGAGGAAGTTTCCGGACTAAAGAGAGAAAGATGGCCTCCATTCACATCTAAGTCTTATGGTTCTAACTCATACTTCCCTTCACTGAAAAATTTATTACAGAGGCTAGTTCCGTATGTTTGATAACAGATGAAAAATGGTCATTGCAGGCTGAGTTCTCTGGGGATGGACACTGTGGAGTTAGGAGTGCCCTGGTTTACTGGAAAGGAACATCTGTGGAAGGGAAATGAGGAAGTAGGAGTGGGCAGGGAGCCTCAGACCACCATACAGAGCTGAAAGTCTCTGCCAGCTTAGAAGCTCCAGAGCAAAGACGGCACGTTAGAGGGGTCTGGCATGCCCAAAAATGGCTAGGTTCTCGTACCACCACCTTGCTCAGTCACTGGCTGGGGATGAGAAGAGGAGACACATCTCTCTGTCA